ATATAAATAGTCAAAAAATAAAACAGGCCAGCACAACTGTGTTACACTCACAGCATATATTTAAGTGCTTAACACAATTCCTATTACTTAACAAACACTTAATAAATGTTAACTTACAGTGATTATAAGTTCTTACCAAATGCGAACTCAAGAAAGTGAATCTTTGTTGGAGATCATAGGACCAATCTTAGATACGCTGATAAAGACCAGACTATTTTTAAATACCCTGGAGATGTTACTCTTGCAAAGTAAATGTGCTATAAAGATTTTTTTCCTTCTCTTTATTTTTCCAATCAGTGCACAATACACTTCTTGTTACTGAGAGTCACCAGTAGGGAGGCTCAATGTAATTAAAAGATTGATCTTCTGGAAACAATGCTTAATAACAGGCATGAAAAAGTGAGAGTAATTCTGCATTTTCAAACACTGTCATCAAGCTAATTTAACCTAAGCTGTTTGTGAACCACCTAGAAAGTCTGGGATCAATATATCCAGGCTGAAATCAATGGACCAGAGAAAAGGAGAGACAGACTCCAATTGGCTAGTTCATTCAGATCAGTGAAGCCTTGTGAAAGAAGCAGTTGGTGGAACATCCATTGTGTATGTTCCAGATGCTAACAGTTCAGATGTGCCAGGATATTCTTTTGCATTTTTCTTGATTGCTAAAGAAACATCAATTATTTATGCACATATGTGTACATGTGTACTTTTTGTGGATATACATGAAAAAAAAAATGTCATATATTAGAGACTCAAACAAAGAAAGTGGTCCTGAGCAACTTCTTCCTTCTTTCACTCTAAAATCTAAACAAAGGGGCCTCTCTGGTGGCACAAGGGGTTAAGTCACAATCTAACTGCAGCCACTGCAGCATGAGTTCAATCCCCAGCCAGGGAGCAACCCACATGGCGCAGCCAACCTCTCCCGTCTCACCCACTGCTCCACTCAGCAGTGTATTTCAGTCAGTCTGCCTGTTCTGTGCCCCACTCTGTCTCTGGTGAATCCTCTCACCCCCCCTTCTGGCCTGTACCCCAGCTCTTATACACATAAATAAATAAATCTTTAAAAAAAAAAGAATGTCCCTTTCCTCTTGGCATAGGAGGATATCTATATGTTTTTATCTATTGCATTTAGAAAGGAAAAATGGAGGGTCAAAATGCCTTTCTTATTTCTGCTGGTTTTGAAGTGCCTTTAACTTGAAATAATCCTTATGCCAAACTGGCATATTTTAGGGTGGCATGTTCTGCTGTTCTTCCATGTTACCAATATTTTGTCTCTTAAAATCAATATTTTCCATCTGTTATTTAAAATGTAAACAAAGATAGAAACAAATAGATCTTGTATAATTATTTATCACATTCATTTTGAAACTTTATTCACCTAAGGATTTTTGGGACATCATATTTTCATTACTAGCCATTTGATCTCATTTTGTTATTTACCTATGCTTCTTGAACAGTTTATCTATACATGTGATTTTGTTCCAAATAAATTTCTTTTACCTTCTATCATTCTTCTGTAATTGATTTTTCTTTCAAAAATATTTCAGTTCAATATTCACTGAGAACCAAACATGAACAAAACCTGACACAAAATGTTACCCATATTTTCTTTTGTCTTTTTATCTCTGTATTATAGCTGTTTGGGTGTTTATTTCACTTTCTCCCTTTTTCTATGAAAATTTATATCAAGACAATACAGAACTTTCTAGACTCCTGATTGTTACTATAACACCAATATCAATGAGTCAAATGAAATAAAAAATAGAGGTTAAAAGTATTTTCTGAGTGGTCATATAATTTATTTTAGAGGAAAGTGAAAGTTTTCACTTCTGTAAATCATTCAAGCCCATAATAACCTGTGCAGAAATCAAGCAAAAAACATCTGACCCTAAGGTTTCAGTGATTTTTGCTAGGTTATCCAAAGTGCAAAAATAAATAGTGTTGTATATCATACTTCAGTTTCAAAATCACAGTGCAAGTTGTATTTCCCTAACATTTCTTTTGTGTTTTGATTGTGGGGGTGGGTGCAGAATTATTTCATGTTCATTTTGCATTCAGCTAGATTACAACAAAATATAAGCATTTAATTTTCATATCGGACATATCATGCACATTAGAACATATCTAGTTTACCAAATAAATGATTTATGTAGACATTTACATGTGTTGTTTTAACTTCAAACTGGCAGTTATGTTATGTGTGAGGAATCTAAGAGCCAAGATTAGAGATTGGTAGCAGGGAGCAGCCTTGTAGATTGATCTTAAAGAAGCTCACCAGATGCAAGCACAGATGCAAAGAATGTCATGAGAAAAATAGTTCAATTCCACTATTCTGATTTCGTTTATGCATTGGAAAATGTAAAAAGTTAACTTTTCTATTATTACATTTTCATTAAGAATAAAATATAGTAGCAAAAACCACCTACAGACATAATGGACTCTCCTTAAAGGAATGAAATGGGTTGTCAAGTGGTCATACGATTTCACAGTATTACATTAATATTTATTAACTGCCTACATTCTTTGAAAATACTGGACCACAGGAGAAACATGAGGTATATGCTATAATCTTCCCATAATAAATATCAGCAAATGAAACAAAGCCCATTATTATATGGGCTAAAGGACTAATGTTGTTAACTCCTACTGTCTTATATCTTTTCCCTGTGGAATACCCTGAAAAGATTATTAGCTTATTATTCTCACAATGATAAAACCTAAATAATACCCATAATTTTGACTTTGTTGGGCAAAGTACAAGTATTCAAAAACTGCATAGAAAGGTTTTCTTATTTTAAGGTAAAATTCTGAAAACTATTTGTCTTTCTATTTTAGTGTAAAATGTTGCATACTAAACTACCGAATAGAATTGATTTCAAAGGAATCTAGCATTAAAAAATCTAGATAGTTACTAGTTGCACATAATGACTTCCCATAAGATGCATTTAAATGTCACACAGTATTATATATACTATTTTGGATGATTTCTACAAAAAAAAATCATACAGAATATTCAATATATGATCTTTTTTTAAAAAGTGCATCTATTTTCTCAACATACTTTTGGAGAACTCATTACAGATTAATGTATTTGAAAACAATTATTTCATTTAACTTGTTTGAAACTTATAAAAACTATTCAAAGCTGTTAGGGAAATTATTATTTGCTATGAGTTACACAGTGAAGGAATAAGGGTTCATCGAGGTCAATTGGCCCAGAGTAAATGACATAGCCCATGTTCTACTTTCAGTTTTATATGTCTTTCCATCTTGTCACGATAACTCAAATTTTAAAATTTTAGGAGTCCCTCTTATTACTCATAATGGATTTTATAAATTAATACATAATAATTCCAAATCCTTTTTCAATGTTTCTTCTCATCTTGGATTTTGTTTGCATCTGGACTAAACCCACTGAGAAATATTTCAGTTCCTTAATCGGATCAGAATTATTGTGCTAGAGTAGACAAATGAAATCCTTCTCATTTTAAATAATCACTGTTTATTATATTTTATTTCAACCCTGCCCAGCATTGTTTTTCACTGATCTTTATTTCCCTCAAAATGTCACTGAGTTCAAAATTTCTAATATCTAAAAACTACCCAGCCTAGTAAAATATCCAAGTTTTTTTTTTAAAGTGAAAAGAATTCATGAAACATCTTCAATGAAATTAATGTCTCCTATTAACATACTTTTTTCTCCTAGTAATACTGTTCCAACTCATCTTGTTTATGTTAACTTTTTATGTTTTCCTGGGTACTTATGATACCTATGCACTATTAATCTATTGATCAATTAAAATAGACAGATGGTAGATAGGTAGACAGAGAGACAGAGATAGATGGTCTATGGTTGTTGAACAACCAAAGGCATTATTAACACACTGAAAATCTCTCAGTAATATTAGCTGCTAGAAATTTCCTTTTAATATTATTCAAAATGGCTCCATATATTCTTACATAGGTTATCTCGATTGCTCTCCTAATTCTGCTGGGTGATAAATGCGATAGGACAGAGATCTTTTTGATCTCTTTTTACCATAAGGAAAATATGACAAAAGATTTTGAGCAACAAATTTTTAGGCATACTAAGGAATCTTATTTATTTCACTTACCTTCTCCTCACTCAGTAGATGTATATAGTGTTGCCTTGTGTTAGTCTTTACAATAACAAAGCAAAGAATTGCCCCATATCTTCCACATAATCTAATGAAATGAACACGTGCTTAATTAGGGAAACTACAAACCTGAAACCATGATATTAATGGGCATCCTGGATGATTCTGGCCTATGATTTTAGTGTTTTCCTGCTTTGGGAAGTGATATGTCTAGGCTCTTAAGGAAACTAGAGTTTCTCTACTCTATATGATAAATAGCATACTCAATTCTCACATTAATCACTGGTTTTCAATTGTGGCAAGACTGAGAGAATGAAGATTCTTGAGTTATTAGCTAGTAGATGCCAAATTAAATCTTTCTGCATCAACCATAAGTGGAAGTTGCAATTATGTAGAAATTTGTGTTCATTTTCAATATACCCTTTATTTCCCAGCTTTTTCAGGCTTCACCAGAACCATCTCCTTTTTCCCTACTCTTCCCATGATATTCCAAACAATAATTTACTTTAAGATACCCATAAAAGCATTATGCCTGATGTGGGAATGCGGTAGTATTTTTTTTTTTTCATCAAGGTAGTATGGCCCAAGTTTTCAGTGTTCATAGTAATTTCCAGTTTTCTTGTCCTTTAGATGACTTATTTTGCACTCAGTCTCCAGATGTCTCAATTAACAACTTCACCTTACTTCATCCTGGAATGCTTAATTAAGTGATAGTAGTTAGCTACTTGTCTCTGGAGAATTAAAGAAATTTTATATTTGGGTCTCAGGAATCTTCTTTTCCTTTGCCCACTCAAATGACTAAAGTTCATTTCATTCAAGAAAAAAATATATGAATTACACTCATAATCTATAACACTGTCCAACCTGTGTTCTTCTCACAAGTGTAGGGAGAAAAGTTGCTGATGCGTTTCTGATCATTTTTCAGGAAGATGGTGCTTTGTTTCAATGGTGTAAGTATAGCACTTTGTACTATTAAAGAGAATACAAATACAGTATGACATTTGATCCTCATAAAAACCCTCCAAGATAGATTGGACACTTTAAAGACAAAGAAACAGGATCACAGAGATTTGTTTTAGCAAAGCTGGTTAGTTACTGGAACAATTAGATCTCCTGACACTTAACCTGTGCTCCATCAGCCACAGCAACACCTCTGCTGAAAGAGTTGAAAGGAAATTTTTCTAAAGCTTACAATTATCATTTTTAAAAGTTTATTGCTCTCATAAGATGTAAAAAAAAAGTCAAAACTGTTCACTTTAGGTAAGTTAAGAATCTTCGAAAATTGGAATAAGATGAAACTTATAGTAATCACACAGTCTGAAGGAAAACTTCCATGAACATGTTCATATATATTCATATAGTTGTCATCATACTGATTATAGCTCATTTCTTATTTATAGTATCAATTCCTAATTATATGAAGAACATTTTTCCATATTTTGAGAATATTTCAGAATATTTAGAAGATGATCTATAGTTTTATCATCTGGGTGTAATACCACAGTTTTACCACTTACTATTGTCAGGAAATTACACAATCCTAATTTTTCAAAGCATTAATAATAATATAATAAACAACCTTGGAATTAAGGCTATGCTTAAAAATTAGAATTACTGGTAATAGATATAAATATTTTTAAAATAATTGCTACAAGCTGCCAAATTTTTACCTCAAGAATTGTTTAAATTTAGACTCTTCCAACAGTATAGGTAAAGGCCCAGCATTAAATTTTATGACCTAATTTACTATTTGCCAATTCAATCAACTTATATGATTTACATTTCTTTATTACTAGTGCATTTTCTCCAGTTTTATGAGGCTATTCCTAGTTCTTTATCCTGAATATTTTAAGTATCATTTTCCCTCTAAAGTCCACTATGTGTGCAATGCCTGAGAGATCACTATTTTTCCTTACTGTGTCCTCAGTTTGTGGATTTTCAGCTTTATGTAGATGGAGAAAACTTCTAAGAAAAATCCCTAGATTGGCATTAGCCAATTGTTTTCTTGTATCCTTCCTGTTAAGTAGTATATTTCCAGGTTTCCCCATCAAGTTCAACTTTTCAGACATTGGAGAGAATAACAATTCACTCTGACCAAATCTTAATAATAATGTGTAATAAAATTTAATAACAATGTATGCATTTATAAAATATGGATTGTTTTAAAGGTAACCTCATGATGTTTTGAAATAGTTCTCAATTTTGCTACCTCTGTGTTAGGAGGAAGACTTTACATATTCATCAGGTGAAGGAATTAAGGAGAAATTGTGGAGAAATACAGAATGCCACAATGAAAACAAATCCTGAAAAAGTAGAAGGGAAGTAATGGAGAGAGTCCAGATGAGTAGAGATGAACCAAGTGTGTGGCAACATCCAGGACATTCATTCAATAAAAAATGTTAGTTTGCTAACAGATTTGGTTTTTCCATCCTTACAAATCATAGCATGTCTTCCTTAAGTGCTAAATGACCTTGGATATGGTTATATTGATAAGTAGAAGGGACATAAAAGGGAGGACGTACCTTCAAATCATATTCTATTAAATGAAAAGATTTTTTAAACCCTAGACCTCTCTCTCATTGGGGGTAAGAAAAAAACAAAAATCATCTTTCTTGTTCCTTGTGGAGCATTTAACAGCAACTAGTTATTTCTTGAACCTTCTCTTTCCTCCTATTATAGCTTGACAACCTATCATGCAATTTTTACTGTCTAACACTGGATATGCATATTTTCCACTCAGACATTATCATAGGTATTTCTAAAAGTTCTAGTTTTGGATTCGTCTCCTGTTGGACTATACTTTCCTTGAGAATAGCAGACTACTAACATTAAAAAACTCAGTTTGGAATTGAGTTTGACTGGGCTCAAGTCCTGACTCTAAATGTATATAGAAGCATGACAGCTATCTGTCCAGATCATGTGGCCTCTCATCACCACAAGTTCCTGATTTATAAAATGATGACTATAATAGTGCCTTCCTCTCAAGGCTTTGTGAACATATGTGATTTAGATAAGACAGTGCCTTAAACAATGCCTGGTCCACAGCACTATTAACCCCTTGACATTGTGATAATGATGCTCAGAAAAAAATAACATCTATTCCTATATCTTCAAATTCTTGTCATCATGACAATAACATTTATTGCTTTTCTTCAATTCTTTAGCTGTAAACTATTTGCCTTAATCACTTCCTTGCCCAAGTTATGTTTAATATACCACTATTCAAAAGTACTTTAAAGCTCAACAGGAAGATTTTTAAAGGTGCTTTGTAATGTGCCCACAAGGTATAGCTTCACATTTATCTTCCAGGACAATTCAAGATTTCTCTGCTCCTGTCATGTCTACAGGTAAGACTTCCTAACTACACGTAACTTTTTTTTATATTGTGCTTTGCTGACTGGAATCATTTCTTCTTTATCTCAATCTATCAAAAGTGTTCAACACTCAAGAGCCAATCAAAATTTCCCTTCTGTAGGAAGATTTCCTGATTGCCTTTCTGCTTCATTAGATACAGCATTTCTTTCCTCTAACACTAGTTAGAGTTGCTTAAAATTGATAAAAACTACTACACCATATAACTAAAGGCATTTACTATATACTTCAGAAAGAGCTGGGTAACTTAGGAATACTACTCAAATTACTTACAATATTTCTGTAATATAGGTAAGTATGACTTCCATATATATATATATATATATATATATATATAGGATTTCAACAAAAGAAACTAAATAATTTGCCCACATTTTTAATAATTGCTAGAAACAGAGACTTACCAAAGATGTATAGCTCTTAAATCTATATTCATTTTGTTTATATTTTGGTGTTCTTTGATGAATCACCTACCAGAACCCACCTATAGCTACTTGCTAACATGTAACTTTCTAGTCATAGAACTGCTAGGGAATGTGTCAGAAATCTCCATTTTTAATAATTTCCCCAGGTGCTTCTCATTCACTGGCAATTTTCAAAAGAGTGCCATAGTTCCTAGAACCTCTTTTTATTTGCCTCAATTACAGAATTATTAAATTCTGTGGAGAACTACTTTTTTGAGGGTGAAAATCATGTCTTACTTCTCTACTTGTCACAGTTCATAGCACAGTACTTCAAACATAATATATATACACAGTGGATTTTAGTTTAATTATTGCCTATTTCTATGTTTTATCACAGAAAAAATTATGAACCTGGTAACAATCAGAAATACATTTTCTCATATAGCTAGCTCTGGGGAATATTTTTGAAGCTTTAATATATACACACAAATGTATTCATATGTTTATATTAATTGTAGAACATGTGGAAGAATGCAGAAAAATAGAAGAATACAGAAGGTAACCTAAGGACTATGTCTTTTGCCATATTTATCTATTATTTTGCGTATTCCCTCTAAGTTTCATATAGTTTAGGAAAATCATTTATATAATCACATGCATTTAACTTCTATATATATTTAAAATATATTTTCTTTCAAGAATAAATATAGCAATAATTTTTGTCAATTTTTATATGATGCAAGATTTGATGTCACTATTATTTAAATGTAACTATACAATTCCCATTTCTTTGTAAAATGGCCAGGTTCTAAGGGAGATTCCAAAATAAAACAAGTACTCATTCACTTTTTCTAGAAGCATAGAAATGAAACAAAATCATGCATTTAACTTCCAAGAATGTTACACCAAATTGTTGATTTTCTTTATTGGGTGATTAAAGACATTCTACACAATATTTACTATAAGGTTCCCTTTCATGTAAACAAAATGCAATACACTGTCAAAGCTAACAGAGAAAAAGAAACACTCTATATGAGTTAACTTTGACACACATCTAAGATAAACTATCCACATTATAGCAGTAACAACAAAAGGGGAGTCTTGAAATTAAATATGACATAAAAACAAGTCATTATCTCCACCCTCTCCCAAAAACCCAATACAAAGGCAGTAAAAGGATTCTGAATGTGCATTTCAAGAACTTCTAGGGACAATAACAAAAGTGGAACTGAAAACAGGTAGACTGATCAAAGTCTTTTTTGACATCTCACACAGAATAACAACTCAATACAACCCCAGAATAAGATCAGAAATATATGCCTTCCTCAAGATAATACAAGCTAGACCCATGAAAAGCATATTCAAAAATTAACTCAAAATGGGTAGCAGTATAAATATACTAAATATTAAATGTTTGATGTACTAAATAAGAAGAAATACTAAATAAGAAGAAAATTGAATATTTAAATATTCTAAAGTCATAGAACTCTAAGAAGATGACAAAGGGCTAAATATTCAATATTATTTGACTGACCCCAAAACATGAGCAACAACAGTAATGGATAAATTGGACTTTAACAAAATTAAAAATTGTGTGCAAAAGATTTTACCAAAAAAGTGGAAAGGCCACTTACAAAACAGGACAAAATATTTTCAAATCATATATCTGATAACGGTTTACTCTCCAGAATATAAAAAGCACCTTTAATCTCAGCAACAAAAAGACAAAAACCCATTTTGCCCATAATATGCACATGGCCATCGAGCACATGAAAAAATTCACAATATTATTAGCCATTAAGGAAATGGAAATCAAAAACATGATGGATACCTTTCACAGCTGGTAGGATGGCTATAATTACTATTTTAAGGAAAATATGTGCCAGAAAAAAATGTGGAAAATTGCAAACTTAATACATTGTTAGTTAAAATGTAATATGTTTCAGTCACTGGTAAATGTTTGCTCAAAAAGTTAAACAAAATTATAATATGATCAGTTATTCCATTCCTAGTTATGTATGCAAGACAAATGTGTGTACATGAATTTGCAGTGGAGCACCTTACACAAACAGACAAGATGTGGAAACAATCCAAATGGCCATCAATAGATAAGTGGATAAACCAATTGAACACAGTGGAATATTATCATTCATAAAACAGGATACTAATAATGGTGCAACCACCAACATAAACCTGTGATATGCTTAGATTGAGAAAGAAGAATTTAAATACAAAGGATAAGGAATCATCAATAGTGGAAAGAAACAAGAACTTTTTAAAACTGAATAAAAACTCATTTCCATCTTAGAATATGCTATCCAGTCAACTTATAAAGTATGAGTAATGATTTAAAGACATTTTAAACAACAAAAGTTTTCAAAAGACTATCTGCTTACTCATTCTCAGAAACAAGAAACATGAGAAAGGGGAAAACACAGGATTAAGTTAAATGTTTTCAATCTAAGAGCGAGGAGAAGGGACTCTTCAGCATGACTTGAAGAAAGATAATAGAATGACAACTGCCAGAAAGCTTGTATACAATAAGCCATCTGAAAGAAGATCTAAAACTTTGGGGAAATATCTATTTGCAAAGACGAATTAATAGAATTTCTCTGTGTTTGACAATTCTAAGACAAAACAGAATTGTGGCTAGAAAAAATGTGAATTAATAAAACTTCAAGTAATAGAAAATTTTTATCTCCCAGGAAAATAGTGGCTGTGTCAAAAACAACAACAAAAAAACATAATAAACTATGACCCAGCTGTGAATAGAGCTTTTAGTAAATACAACATAAAGACAGGTACTCATTTTCTAAATTATGGTTTAACAATATAAATAATTGGGAGAAAAGAGATATGTATATGAAAAGTAGTGGTGGTCGAGGCTGCAATCAGAGAGGTGAACGTTAATGCATGATATAATAGTCTTGATCCCTATTGCAAGACTTTGGAATAAAGTCCTCCTTGTTTTTTTACCAAGCATCTGGTCCAATTTCTCTTTGACAACAGCAATACTGATGGTTACACATAGGATGAGCCATAAATATGCAGGGATCTGCAATTAGTATTCATATGATTTTCCTTCTCTATCAGCTGGTAGGTCCTGAAAGCATTGACACTCGGTAGCAATGAACAAAACTTGTGTTCAGGCATTAGTTTCTAATACCACTCTCCATTAAGGAAACAAAATACCCTGGAGAAATGGCTGATTCTCAGATTTGGGTAGTGGATATACAAAGTGATCCTAGAGAATAATGTAGTATCAGAAAGTAAAGAAGTTCTTCAACAACAAAGAAAAATAAATAAAAGCAACAATGAGAATAACTCAAAGGGACAAAAAAGCAATTGAAAGAGCTCCTAATGGTGAAAGATGTAACATTTGAGCAACAAAATAAAATACTATCAAATCATGACACAAAATAAATATAACTATCCATGATTCTGTACTAAAATAACCAAATAAGTGTATTAATTAGTGAATATAAGAAATACCAATAAATTTTCTGGACAACAGAATTCCAAATAATTTCTGTAAATATTCTACCCTTAAAAAGATAATGCATAGGTGGGGATATTATTTGGTACAACCACTATG